TCCGAAGTACGAAACGTCCGTAAGAAATGTATGGGGGAGAGTTTTTTTTTTAATATATCATCCAAACAAAACAATATATTTAAAAACATATTTCAGCATTGAAATCAGCGTGAAAATCTAGTTCATAATGATGTGTCGCAACACTAGCATTGCATAAAAAAGTTATTCGTATCCAATATGGCGGCCAAAAACACCAGCCTGGCCACACTTTCAGACAAAATACTCGGTAGTACACGGTTCTACATGTCATTACCTATCTATCGCCAACAATCATACAATTGCTTCAAAATCCTACAAAATTAGATATGCCTCACAACTATAGTCTAATTTATTTTATTTTCTAATACCTGTAATTAGTTTATAGCATACCTACCCGTAGCAGCAGACCTGTATACTCAACGAATTGCAAATGCTTCAATAAATAATTAAAATGGGGCCACTCAATAACATTTCTCAACACGTATGTTCATAAACAAGCATGCAAAAAATTATCCATAAGAATAACATTGGAAGTTAGTATGCAGGTTTGCTGCCACGGGAATGTAAAAATGGGGGATTTTAGGCCATAATCAAGTAGATCTCTAATAAATGAAGCCACATACCAATTATTATTAAATATATGCTGAGTAATAAGCTAGATATACAATTTTATTTTTTCCCCATAAGGATAACATGGGGACAATGTTCTGTGTTTACCGCCTTCAATATCTCGGTAACCAATGGTCACAGAGCAATGATTCAAAACACTAAATTGTTTGATTTTTTTAGCTAAATTCAATGGTGTAAATTAAAATTCGATTATTTTACTCTGAAAAGAGTTATTATTAATTTAATGAATAGATGTCACACATGGCGGCCATCTTGGATTTACGACGTCATAAAAACCAAACCCCGCAATTTGAGGGTAAACACCCGGTACTACACCATTATGTGACATATAGTAAAGAGATTCCACATAGTCACACATTCCCTTCACAAAAAATCCCACGGAAGCTGGATATGTGCAGTTTGCTCCTGGACTATAAAAGAACTGGTCACATGTAGCAGGAATATAAAAAGTAAACACGCTAGTAAAGCTAAAGACGTAATTGTCAATGTTTATTATCCATACCGTTATCAGTTCTATCCTTGATAATTACCCACCCTCATTGAATAAATGTACATCGTAATTTCCCATATTAGTTAATTTAAACTACAATATATTCATAGTTGAAATAAAAGTGATATTTTCACGTTTGGGGGCGCTGATATAGGCGCCCCGAAACGTAACCACAACTGAACACGATTTCATTAAAGGATGGTTTGTCTAATTGCAGTATCCTAGGTCAATGTTGACGTTGTGTTCAATCTATGTCATCCATCTGTTTATCTTTGTATAAAACCCGGCTGAGGTTGTGGTGGTAATTTAAAATCGTGATTCCTGATTATTCTTGATCTTATTTTTATGACATCAATATTTCCGGGCCTAATCCAAACAAAGTTAAAGCAGACAAACATTAATTGTAAACAAAAAGCTACCATGAAGAATTAAAACATGTAAACATTGTTATTTTTCTATTCTTTCCTTGAAAAGTGGAGTAGTAAAATAATTTGCATTTATCCTTTTTTATTAAGACTCGTGTACAGAGCCTCGATTTGTGGTTTAATTAATTTTGGTCTAAACTATTTTAAACTGTGGTCTAATTATCTCTACTAATCTTAGGCTACTCATTTCCTATAATCAATGACAAAATAAGAGTAAATATAATAACCTCATAGTTCCATAGTTTATATTTAACCAGCTGTTAGTTAAAACAGATTATATTGCTCTAAAACAAATCGAAGATTGCAAACATTGCTTTAAAAAAATAATTTGAACATCCTAGTATTTTACTATGTATAATTTAATTAATCTGTCATCCTCTTACAGAAGAATTGAACGTATCAATGATTAGCATTACACATAGTATAAATAAGTCAACCCTATGTATGTCTTTACATTTTTATCCAAATGCTGAATTTGTGACACAAAAGCTGAATGTTTACAGCTGTTATGTTAAGCAAATTATTTTATGCCAGAAGCTAGTTTAGAATCTTAGCGTCGGCTGCTAGACTTTTTAAAAATTAAAACTTAATTTCTAAAAAACTGAGGCCCTAAACTAAAATTATGGCTTCGACATTCCCTAGTTCTCAAAATTATCTTTCTTTCAACACAAAAATCATGAAAATCCGTCGAGTGGTTGATTCAAAATCGCGAAATAAAAAAACACTGTTTCGTTTTAATATTATAGATGCTAAGGGAAACAAAAATCATCTGAACAACAGAAGGTCTTTAACTTTGCATTTCTCAGGTAAATATAATTAACGTTATTGCAACTAAATAAAAAATACACCAATTGAACAAATAAAATTGTGACAGACAATTTGATGAAAAATAAGTACGACAACGAATTTAACACAAACAAAAAACTAACATTTGGATTATGAGTTAAAATTCTGGTGACGCAATAACAACGATAAATATACAGAAAATCAAAACAAATTGAAGACTGGTACACAATCATCACATGTTTGATTTTCAGCGTGGGATGAATATAGATAAGTTCATATTTTATTTGGATTGTGGTCGAGTTTTGACCACTGGACGACATCAATTCTTATATTAAAGTACTTAACTCATTAAGGTACTTCAATAATACCTAAATGATAAATACCTTCTATTTAACTCAAATAAAACAATCTGGTATTAGGTATAGATGTATTTACTCAAAAACCTATTTCTATGATAATTTAGTCACGAAATCCAAATGTTTAGACCTATCTATAGATTATATCCTCTTGTTTGGATCATACAAGTCTAGATAGTATTTTTAAAATTTTAAATATGGTATTTTTTTATTAAACCCATTATGCACTACAGACATTTTGCGTACAATTTACTTTGCTAACATACACTCTCATATTTGTTACGGAATAAAGATTTATGAGGGAACAAGTAATTGTAACTATAATCAAATTTTATATTTACAAATGAATGCTACAAGATGAAACCTTAACCTGGATTAATACTGTTTAAATTTTTTCCGAAAATAGGAGATGAAAAATAGTGGAAAAAAAGGCACTACGACTTATTTGCGTTGTGCACCACGAATATTATGTAGAAAAAAATTTCGAAATTTCGTACATACAGCTTAAGAAGTTAAGACTAAATATTTTTCATAGTTTAGAAATTTTAAAACGTGAACTAATACTGTATTTCCTTAATATTGTTGTTGGAAGACGGCAATTGCTAAAATACTGTGCGCGTAAACTAATTCATTCACCTCATGGTGGTCATCTAAGTCGATTATTGGACAAACTAAAAGTCTTACGAAAAAATGTTTGGAACAAAAATTGAAGAACATCTTATTATCTATACTTTTCTCGCTGAAAGTTTTCATCTGACCAAAAAATAAAAAAAATCCTCGCTCACTTACTTTTTCATGTTTACATTGAACAACCTTTTCATATTTTCCATTATTAAACATTAATCATCTGCACGAACTAAATTGTATTTACATAGTATTAAACATCAGTTTACGCAGAATTTAAATATGTAAATTTCATCCTCTCACTATTTGTATTACAATTTAGACGAACGTGCAAAGCGACAGGGAACGCACCACTTCGAATAATCTCGCCAACATCGGAAACTCTCTTCCAGCATGTGTGTGTGTAATGGGTGCGTGTGTGTGCGTACGTTATCGCTTCCTGCACAGACTGTACCCATTGTCACTTGGAGTTATGAAACTTGGTGTTATGAACCCTTGGAGTTTTGAAACTTGGACTTGTGGTCCTTGCAAATCTGTACGTTTGGAGTTATGAAATTTTGTATTTTAATTTACTTGGTTTTATTTTAACTTGGACTTATGAATCTTGGAGTTATGAACGCTTGGAGTTATGAAACTTGGTCTTATGATATTTTGGTTTTAATTTACTTGGACATAATTTTACTTGGAGTTATGAAATGTTGTATTTAAAAGTACTTGGAGTTATGAAAACTTGGAGTTATGAACCTCACCCGAATCAGTCATAGCTAATTATAACTGAGAAAAATATATATTAAATTAAATTGTAAAAACTTATCGTCCTGATTTGTCGGATTAAGCATTGTATACCAGTAATCCCCTAAAAATAAACCACGATTTAAGTAGGATTGAATTACATTAAACGTATTTTGTGTTTCAGGGGTTTCCTTTAACCGCAACATTGCCCGTACCATGTATTGTAGATAATTAATTAATAGCTAAGCAGGCCATAGAGCTCGAATGATTCGGCTTCACACAACATAGGTTTTAAATTTTGAAAGTAGTGGGAAATTAATTTCTTGATTTAGGAACTCAAGGGTTCACATTATTTCTCTTCTTTTGCTCAAATCGTCAATTTTAAAAATAAAATAGTGAATATTATTTAATATTTTGTACTCAATATTACAACAATATTACGTCATAAAATGTTCTCTTTTAGTATTATTTGTGATTATATGGAGAAGTTGTAATATGTTCCCTTTATTCCCTATCAGCACAATTTTTTCAATAGATATTAAATTGATAACATCTCATCTATATTTCCTAACATACAATTAAGTCTTACAGTATATGTCCCGAAGATCTAAAATAGTCACTGCAAATACATTATTTGATACTCCCAGGTGAATTATTTTGCTAAAGTAAGTTACTGAAGTTTATTATTAGTTCTTGATTTGAAAATATTTTCTTTAAGGAAAATTTTATACAAACAAAATATAGTCGAATTTTGTACAAGAGATAATTTATATCGTTACATTGGCAGCTAAACCATCAACAAGCTCACAATGACAAGTATTAAACTATATAAGTGTCTCTGTTTTTGGTTGTTTAGTGTTTAGTGGACTACAACAATCGGATCAGCTGTTTCCCCCTCTCCACTCATGCCAGCTGCTCAATGCATTGTTGGAGATCGCTTTCGGCTTCAGGCTTCAGTCGGTCCGTGGTGCGCTAGCCTATCGGTTCGGTGTTGTAAAGTGTTGTTCGTTTCTATTGCGTGTTTTAGACATGGTTTAACATCTGGACTGCTTGTAGTGTTATGGACTATTGGATTGCTATTTACGTAAGTATGTTGTAATTATGAAATGTCCATTTGGTTAACTGATGATAAATATTTGTTGGATTTTACTTGGCTGTAAAGAGTTTCGTATTGTTTATTAAAATTAATCGTTAACTAAGATTTTTAGCAGAAGATCATGTAACTCATGTAACTCTTAAGTGATGGTGAATTTATACTTACTTTAGTTGTTAAAAAATTTTAAAACTAGGAATCAAGCATCATTGGCTAGGTATAATTTGCTTAAGAATTTTTATTTATTTATATATTCAAATGACGAACACAAGCCTAATACCCTCAATTTAATTATAACTCAATTTAAAAATAAAAACAATAGCTTTTTAAAGTGTAATTAAACATTATAACAATTTGACTAATTTGAGGCATCAGCATTCCTGAAGATAAATTAAAACAGTGGGAATGCATGTGTACTGAACCGATTTCAAGAGACAGACACAGAGTTTGTATAAAACTTGATTTTTTAACAAAATATCCGCTATATATTTGTTAAATAAAATACAACATATAACCAAAGTGTCTTCATCAACCTCTCTATCAACAGAAACAACAGGTTCACCACAGTTTTCTACACATTGAAAAAAATCCCTTTACAATGCGGGTAATGTATTTGTACCTGTGCGAGTAATTCTAAGCCAGCTAAATTTTATTCCCCGTGATTTATCTCGAAGTTTAGCATGAACTAGTTTTGCGCTCACCATCTACATGGACCCAAGTCACGACTTTACCGTTTAACTCCACGTACGAGAACCAAAGGTGAGAATAGGAAATGTCAAAATACTTAATCATGGCCAGGCGTGAAGAGAAATCACCCTTGAGTTGTCGGAGTGTAAATCCTGTCTTTTGTGTTATGCTATGATTTTTCATTCCCCTTTAAGTTCCTCACTCCCTCTTCAGCTCTTCAGTTCCTGACCTTTCATATTCTTATCGCTTTCCTACGGTTCATTCAAGAACTCAAGAAGCAGTCACCCTCGCCCTTATTCATCGGTTGAGTGGCTATGCTAGACGGTCTCACTGCTTGCTATCTGGGTGTATATGGTGTTGAGAAGTGGGTAGGTATGGTGTTGATATCGGAGTCCTGGTTTCGAATCATGCTAATTGTAAATGCTGAATCATTTATTAGTTGGTAACGAGGTGATTTTAACCCACTTAAAATTTGAGGCTGAATCAAAAGATCGGATTAAATAAGCGCAGTGTAGAGTATAGCGTATGGAATGAAATAAAAAGTATATAATGCTACCACCAAATGTTAAACCACACTTTTAACTATGTTATTTCCGTTACCCATTATAAAATTTAACGATTAGTGGTAGTGGTCCCTGAGTACGCAAAATTTAAGTAGTCTCAGGCTCATAATCAACGTCTATTGGTTTTCAATATCAACTATTCAATGACAATAGTGTTAGATGTTGGCATAGAGTAGTGATTTAGGTAGTTTAAAACAGAACTTGAGCTGTAGCTACACTTTGAGAGTGTAAAATTACGTTTTTAGAACTTCTTAATGAAATATAAAACTATACAACATGTATTCGGGACCACAGATTCAAAACATTGTTCATCCGTGTTAATCAAGGGTTTTTTTATATTTGTTTCATCTCAATATATAAAGTGTGTGTTTATTTTTTTATTTTTGACGTTCCACCAGCTTTATAATTATTTTGAACAAATATAATTACCGTTTAAGATTCTTCACCTCTAACTCATTTAAATAAAAATTTGGTCAGGCTAGATTATGCCAGTCCTTTGATATGCATAAATTGTTTGCACATTTAACGGATTTTGCATTGGGAATATAAGCTTAAACAAAAACACAGTTGACATCAGTGGGCTCAAACGTAATCCAAAATGAATCACTTATCAAAATAGGTAGCTAATACAATAGGATAACAATTTAAGTATCTATAGTCAATGGTATTCGCCCCAGTCAGGACGCCGCGCTCTCAATGCAGAGTAGGAGAGTAGGCCGCTCTTTGCGAGGGAAACTGTGAGATGTTTTCGCGGGTAACAAGCCAGATTCCCCTACACTTGATGTAAGAGGAGGGAGAACAGTAGCCGGGGTATAACAAGCTGTCTTCGTCCCTACCCGACACAGGGAGACGGAGACATTCTATGACGATGTATATTCATCAAATAATAATCAATATCTGTTTTAAGAAACAACAGACTTGACGCTAGATTTAGTTATCCCAAGATGTGACGTGTTTCTGGCCCTGGCTTTCGTTTTTTGTGTGTGAGAGAAACAGGTCCGATCACAAGTATGTCTACAAACATTTTACAAATTTTAACCCACTATCCCTTAAAAGTGTTTAATCTTTTAAATTTGTAAATTCCACTTTCCTTTATATATTAAAAAGTCTACATCTTTATCCAATGCTTTCCTGTGTTCCTAGCCAATAATTTGAGAATGCTGGGCCTTGTAGATGTCTTTGGAGAGGTGGGTCAAATCCCTGGTATATACAAAAAAATGTTTTGGGCAATTGCCCTTATAGGTGTTTCTTATGTTGTTAACTCTCTTTTCATCTGCTGTAAAGCTTATTTGAAAGTTTTTTTTCCAATTGGAGTGAAGTCGTTGAGTACAATCAAACTCCTCCTCCTATACGCTTGTATAATAAATCGTTCAATGGTTTATTCCATTGTCTGTGGTTCAATGTACACCGTATAGGTCACTAACTGACTGGCTTTCAGGCACTTTATCACGTGATTAACCAGGGATCAATTTTAATTCAACCGTTTGAATCTGCCAAAGTCCACCCTCAACATACTAACAATACATAACATAAGTGCAAGTAATAGGTACATCATAATCAAAATTATTACATTTTTCTTTCCTATTTATTATTGAATTAGGGCGCATATTGAGAAATGGCAACACATTAGCTCAGTCTGTTTTAGATTGCCTTTTGAAGTTTACTTACATCGATGGGAACCCAAAAATGAAAAATATTTATCTCTTACCAAAGAGTGGAAAGGTTTTTCCTCAGTGATGACTATACCCTGTAGGACTAATTATGGTTAAATGCGACCGTTCATGATGGCAGTAAATTTGTGTAAATAATCTTTCAAATTATTAATCCTTTTCATTATTATTTTTTGTTAGGCTAATCTTCTTCCAATTTCAGACACAATACATTATGTTGTAAATGTTAAATTATATTTTGACATTTTTAAACTAGAGGTAACAAGTTGACGAGCTATATAAATATCAGTATCAAACACTAAAGAGATTTATCGTCAAAATAATTCAAACAGAAAATGTAATTTGTATGTGACTTTTTGTGTTTTTTATTAATACCACCTAAATTACAGGTACCAAGATACACTGACAAAGTCAGCTCCTAATTAAGTATCCCTGGTTTCTTTACTTCACTGTCAAAAAGCTGTGTGTCGTCTACAAGCTTTAGTCTTATTGGGAATTTATTTTGGAGTCTCCCTGTAACACTAATCCACATATGAAACAATTCAACAATGCATATCATCTGATCGGTAATAAAGTATATGATAGGACACGGAGCTACCATCGTAATTATTGGGTTAAGTTAAAAACGTCATTTACAAGTTGTTATTGTAAAACGGGTATGCATCTCATTGAAAACTAAATGTTTTCAAAACTAAAATATTCCCTTAATAAACTAAAAAAAAACCACTGTACTTATGCTAATTACTTAAATATTTAAACTAATATCATGGATTACCTCTACGTTTAAGTCGAGATTTGTTTGAAGACCTCCTGGATTGATGGACCGCCGTGGTTTGCCGGAAACGGGAAGAACAAACAATTAACTAGCTGTAAACATACGTCACCACACTGACGTGCTGGCGTGAGGTTGGCATGAGGGCGTCTGCGAAATGTCTGCTACCAGCAATAACGTCAAAACTGGAAAAAGGTTGTTATACTAAAGCAAAAAATAGTCCGTTTTCGTACATACATGAGTCGCCGAGATTAAGCAGACCCCAATAGTTTTATCCCTAGAACGAAAAATAGCTAAATTATTTTTAGTTTAAAATCCTGAATTTGCATATGCAAATAGTTCCGATTAATAATAGCATTCTCGTATCTCCAAATTTAGTACTCTTTGGCCTTTATAGTGTTTAAGATAGATGTAATATACATACAGGGTGCGCCAAAATAACGTGACAGTTTTTAATACTAAATAACTCAAGAACAAAATACAATTTTATATATTAAATAATGTTATATTGTACACACTATTATGCCATTTTCACTTATGAAAAATTATATCATTTAGGTGATGTCCTTCTCCTAAACGCAGGCTTTAATTTTCTTTTTGCAAATTTGCAGTCACCTTCGCCTGATGAATAGAAACAATCTCTTCCCGGATACACTGCTTGTTCAGGGATAGTTCGAAATTTCGGAACCACCACTTTGCTTTTTAAGTGTTCCCATAGCCAACTGTCACACGAAATTAAGTCTGGGGATCGAGCTGACCACAGCACATCACCAAACCAAGAGATCACTTTACCGGGAAAGAGTTCACGCGAAACTGCCATTGAATAATTGGTTGTATGACAAGTTGCACCGTCCTGTTGAAACCATGTTTTGGTAATGTCTATCCCTCCTAACATTCATAGTTGCGGAACCAAAAACCCCCTCAGTATTTCCACATAGCGTTCCGAGTTTACAGTGATAGGGGGTGTTCTCACTTTCATCCTCAAAAACATATGGTCCGATGACTCCAAACCGTGCCACACCACACTAGACAGTAACTTTCTTTCGACGAAGTGATGTTTCACCAAACATAACCTAAAAATGGCATAACGTAAGCAATCGTTCACTACAACAACGAGGTCTCTAGCTAGTATAACAACTGACTTATCACAAAACAAAAACCGTCAGGTTTTTTTGGCGCACCCTTTATTTAATCAATTAAAAAATAAATATATTGTTGTGATGGCGTAGTAGTATATTTTGCGTCCAAAGAACTGTAAAATTAGTCTTTCCTATTATTTATGAACAAAGTGAAATTCAAGCAAATTTCAGAGCAAATTAAATGAACGTAACTAATATAGAGGAATTTGTATGTAATTTATTTTTTTTAATGATTCAGTAAGCCACAATAACAAATTGCTATACCATATCCAAACAGCCGTTATAAGCTCTGTAATAGCCCTAGTTTTGCAACTATTATGCTCAAACTATAAATATACTGATGAAATAGTTTTGACTTACTTTCATTACAGCCCTGTCTAAGTATTAAACTTCCTGCGGTTAAATTAACAAGTTATTCAAACTCATATTTATTGGAACAGAACGATTTCCATGATATGTTAAACTGGATATCCAAAACGTTAAATACACTGTGACACCGGGGAAAGCTATATTATAACGAGTTTTGTTTTTGTTTCAGAATAATATAAACCCAGGGATGTAGACAGCAAACTACCATCGTGGGGGCTGCACCTTCGCATGAGAAGTAAGTTGAATGCCTTTTATTGTCCTTACGCTGCCAATATTTAAAACTAGATAACTTAATACGAGACTTTTAGTCGTAGCAATAATGAGTTTTTTACCGTCAAATTTATCTATTATTTTATATCTTGACGTTAAAAAAGATAAGAATAATAATTTGTCTATTGATCCAGCTATTTGGTATATTTTGTACCCTTTTGCTAGGAGGTTTTTTCAATATAAGCTCGTTTGTAAATAGTCGAATGGAAATGATTTAATTTAAACTTTTGTACATATTCGATGGAAAATCTACTTAACTGCATCTAGATGTAAAGTAAACAATACTTGACAAACCAAACTGAAAAAAAAATGCGATTGGTGTTTATATTGTAGTATTTTTTACTACTCGATGGTAAAACGGTGATGTAAATTGGGTGTGTAGCGTCTTGGACTTCGGTGCGGGAAGGGCGTGTTCGATGCGTCACACATTCACAAAACTTTAATGGATTTGAACATGGTTTAAACCACTTTCTCGTAAAAGTGTGTGTGTAAAATTACTTGAATTAATTACAAACGCCACTGGGGTAGACACATGCAACAAATTCGTATTTAAATTTAAAACGCTTGAGACAGTTTATCTTCATCAATAGCAATTCCCAAAGTTCAAAAATTACTCTTCTTGTAGTACAAAAATTCTCTGTAATACCAATATGTCACTTTCAGCACCAATAATGGTGTATCTGATAAATAAAATAGTTTATTCGGACATTCAATAAAAAAAAGTCCTTACTAAGTCCTAGCATAAACTTTAAAATAAAACGTGCACAAATTAAAGTGGAGCACTGCAATTTGTGAAGTGCCTGCACTGGGTAGGCCTTTAGATTAAGCATACGCTTAATCTATGGTAATACGAGATAACACGTATGTTATGACCTTCACTACTATGTTTGAACTTTGTTTGACCTTCAGACAGGTGAGTCACCCCACCTTATCAGTCCGTTATCGAGACCACCATGACCTTGCCTACGAAGCCACAGAGAGTCAGTGTTTGGTTACCTCTCCCCTCTCCAGGTGTCGTTTACACACTCATTAAGCTGTACAAATAACTGTTTTACACTTACGTAATGTCCAATATTGGAAACGTATGACACATATGAAGAGTCGTTAGTTATTTGTAGGTGTTTGTAAGGATGAATTATTTTTTGGAAGAAATAGCCTTTGTTTGGTGAAATGAGGAATGGTGAACCCCAAATAGATCTTAGTGTACTAACCTACACTATCCTAACATTCGCCATGTGGAAAAATGATGGTATTAGCATGACATCCATGTCTAGGTCAGGTTTTGTCTCATGTCATTTAGCTTAAAAAACAAATTACCCCATGGACATTTTGGGATTTGGAATAAAGGCAATACAGTAACGACAAATATTTTTTACACGATATAATTTTGAAATTTTGAAAACCGAAGTAACAAGTACAGCTTTCTTTTTCAGAAACAGTGAATACCATAATGTACGTCTGCGTCTGAGTGAGACCGTTAAATAAGGCATTTTTGTAAAAGTAAATATGATACACAAAAACGTAAACTAAAACTACCCAAAAAACTGCGCAGAAAATCTCTATTGCACGACAATAGTTTCATGAGTAAATTAAATTAGGTAAGAAAAATACTCAAGTTACGCATAGTTTCATCAACAACGAAACGTAATTCCACTATCAAGCTGAAATTCATCACTTACAATTTACTAACCATCTTTTCCATTTGCAAACGAAGTAGTACTGCATTTACATCAAATGACAGTGCATATTTCCACTTTAATTAAAACCAAATACCGTTGTCGTGCGGGAGGCGTATTTTTCAATCAGCTTCTAAGCCCGCCTGCGTATGTTTCGACACTGTCCCAACATTAGACATATTTCCCGCAATGCAAATGAGACTTCCCCCTAGTAATCAGTCTGGTGGTAAAAGCATTCACCCTTTTCGAGATAAGTAAATGCATCTTCGTTATGTTGTAATGCACTCAGCACCCACCGCTGTTTGTAATGATGTTTTCGTTATATCTTTTGTAATGATGCAATCAGAAAATAGCACTTTGAAGTGACGAATGGAGAAGATTTAAGTGATCGAGGCACTCGTTTTGGGGATGGAACATGAAAGGAGCGGGTTTGGTAGGAAAGTGTTGGTAGTTTGGAAATGTGTTTATCCACATCGTTTGATTATTTAGTGCAATAATTGTCTCTAGGGGTAGTCGAGTATTTATTTGTACTCACCTCAAAACATGGAGGTTTCAGGTTCGATCCCTAGCAGTTTCAATTCTCCACCCAGATGTCATTGGCTTTCAACTAAGATAACAAAAATTTAACGTTTGATAGTAACAAAACTAAGGTCATATTAGGTTTACTTTACTGGCGGTACAATAAAGAACGACAACACACACAGCCATAGCCTCCTAACACTGTTTGCTCGCACTAATACTAATACACTGTTTAGTTTATACTAACAAATCTTAAACACATGTTAGTGTAATAACAGATCTTCGTATGCGGGCTGGCATCGTGAGCAAATGTTGAACATACCCTGTGGCGCCATCATATCTCTGCTTTACATTCCTCTTAGCTGATCTAGTGGTGCAGAGCGAGCCTTCTAGCTTGGAGTCTCGGGTCCAAACCTAGCCAGTCGGTAGTGTCATAATGCATTGATTCAACGATTCGATGCTCGTATCCAGAGAAAACTTACGAGTAAAAGTGCAACACTGGAAAGGCGTTGCTAAATCGTAACTTTTATGATTGTTTATTAAATAGTTAAATTCTAAAAAACAACCTTTAAAAAAAATCGCAAGGGAAAAAATAACATAAGATTGATTTTCTTAGAATATTGACTTAAAATAATTGACCATTAAAACATTTTAACATTCTTGTACTTTGTAGTCAGCAATTGCGGTCTGTCACGATATCTAGAAGGGAACCACGGGTGTTTTGTAGTTCTAGAAAAATGCAAGCTGTTTTCTACTCATTTCAGCAGCCAGGTAGCTGACAAAAGCATGTCATGGTAGTGTTTGAATCTTTTTAAATAAACTAATCCCCCTTATCATACAAAAGGCAAATGATACGTTGAATGGTACTAAGAAGAGGCGAGTCAAGACTTTTATAACATTTCCATGCACTTATCCCACTTCTCAAGTGATACACGTTCTACACTCGATGCCATACCTCAAAACTATTTTTAAACGACTATTTATGAGGCAGCGTATATTTAAAAAATATCCGTCAAATTTTTACAAGGCGCAGTGACTTATTTACAAAAACAGTGACCAAAAAAGCCGTTTGACAACCGATTGAAGACTAGATTACGTAAAAGTTTTATACATTTACCTTGTCATGTGTAATAGCCTACACTTTACTAGGAAGGACCAAAACTATTAGCGGCTCAATTTCAAAATCAGTGACCAGAAACTCATGGACGTATGGCCACCGTCCGAAGTAACGGATACACTCCATGTTACAATGTTTTTTTCTAATTAGTCAGATACCTGAGCCGAAGCCGTAGCCCGTGTTTGGGTCATGTTACGTAGCGGGGGTGTTGTAGGGTCTGTGCTATTGTGCCTCCCCCACGCCGGGTGACAATAGGCCATTTGCCCCCATTGGCCTACAATGCTTATCAACGTAGGCTCGGGGTGTTTTCGATCGTTGCGCCCTTTAGTGGAATATTTTTAACATATGGAATGTATAGACGCATCGCAGCCAATGGTTAAGTTTTAGCCAGTCTTGAATTTAAGGGAAGATTGTTGAATTGTGCGCGTAGTGTGCGCTGATGTCGGTCACTAATTTTGTTGAACATAGTTCTTACTGAAGCAAAAATACAATTACCGTAAACTATAGCATCTTATAATAGCTATCATACTAACAATTAATGGGGTATATAGAACTGTATAAGTAGCATACCTAAAAAAGTAAGTGGCAAATTTGACAAACTTCTCTTTGGTAAAATATATCTTCAGTATCTCAAATTTCCAAGAACTTTAAGGTTCAAATTTGATCATGTTTAATTTACACTTAACACTAAAGAGAAAAGTTGTTATCGTTTTATCATAGGTTACATTTTGAAATCGTAAAATAGTTTTTGAATTGTGTTCTAAGAGAATTACAATAAATACTGAAGAATTGCCTACATTGCATGGACTAAATTTGTGTTACCTATTTACAATAGTATAACGCACACTGGTGTTGGGGGTTGGGAAGGGTACTATTGTGTGTGTGACCAACCTAAAAGATTGGATCTCGTTCCATAAAATCTCAGCATCTGGTCTGTTCTGGGTTTGTTTCATATCACATCTAGCAAACCTTATGAGACTGGAGGCTCCATTTCGATGTTAGAAACATTCGTGAAAAATCTCGTTCAAAAAATTTACAGTTTAAATCGGAAATATATGTATTTGTCTCCCATTTCCGTTTAAATATTATTCTTGTGATTTATATTATTTAAAGCACACAAAATAAAATAATTGTAAATGTATATAAAATAATAAAATATATAAACTTGTATATAAATGATTAAACATGATAGTACAATATGTCTACCTTTCTGAAGGTACCATCGTTTTTCAAAAAAATGTTATCGTTAGGATAAAATATAGGTTTATCACTAAACTTATTATAACTATTATAATTATATACTATTTTAAAAGGTATAAAATTACCTGAGTACTGCCAGAGTGATCCTGTTAGTCCTTACGGATTACGGATATCTGTAAGGACTAACAGGGTCACTCTGGCAGTACTCAAGTAATTTTATACCTTTTATAGTTTGTTCTGTGATCCAGAGACAAAACAGCTCAAAATATATACTATTACTGCTATTATTGTTTTAAGAATACTTTTAGTTGCCAGAAATTGGTTTCGATGATATAAGACTATAACTCAATTAAACAGGTTCAGATTTTCAGGTTAAGTGTAAGAAAGAGTAATGTGGCCCTAACTTTGTCTGAAAAAAAATTTCATTTAACTTCATTTAATAAAACTTGACAA